GGTGGTCCGGAATGAAGCAGGAAATCGTTGGGTATGTTGAGAGGTGCTTGACCTGTAGGATGGTCAAGGCCGAGCATCAGAGGCCGCATGGTAAGCTGCAGCCTCTAGAGATTCCCATGTGGAAATGGGAGCAGATCACGATGGATTTCATTACAAAGTTGCCGAGGACGGTGAAGTGGTTTGATGCTATTTGGGTCGTCGTGGATCGGTTGACCAAGAGTGCCTATTTCTTGGCCATTCGGGAGAGTTTGTCGGCTGAGAAATTGGCCGACATGTATGTCAGCGAGATTGTCTCTCGCCATGGGGTTCCAGTTTCTATCGTTTCCGATCGGGATGTCAGGTTTACTTCTCGTTTTTGGCAGAAGTTCCATGAGGAACTGGGTACGCGATTGCATTTTAGTACAGCATTCCATCCGCAGACCGATGGGCAGAGTGAGCGCACCATCCAGACCCTCGAGGATATGTTGAGGGCGTGCGTCATTGACTTTGGTGGGAGTTGGGATTCCCACCTACCGCTTGCAGAGTTCGCCTACAATAACAACTATCATTGTAGTATTGGCGCCCCGCCTTTCGAGCTGTTGTATGGTCGGAAGTGTAGAACCCCAGTCTGCTGGGGTGAGATTGGGCACACGGTGATGGGACGGACAGAGGTAGTTCTGCAAACTACCGAAAAGATACAGCAGATTAGACAGCATTTGCAGACCGCTCAGAGTCGGCAGAGGAGTTATGCCGACAGACGCCGATCTGAGTTGGAATTTCAGGTGGGTGACATGGTACTCCTGAAGGTCTCACCCTGGAAGGGTGTGATCCGTTTCAGGAAAAGGGGAAAACTAGGTCCCGTTTTATTGGGCCGTTCAGGATCATTGCCAGGGTTGGCAAGGTGGCTTATAGGTTGGAGCTTCCGGAAGAGCTTAGCCGGATTCATAGCACGTTCCATGTTTCGCAATTGCGGAAGTGTATCATGGACCAAGTGGCAGTGGTATCACTGGACGACATTCAGGTCGATAAGCGCCTGAATTATGTGGAGAGGCCGGTGGCCATTTTGGAAAGGAAGAAGAAGATCCTTCGGAACAAGGAAATACCTTTGGTGAAGGTGCAGTGGGAACATCGGAGGGGATCCGAGTGGACATGGGAGTCGGAGGCGGAGATGCGTGAGCATTACCCGACATTGTTTATTCCAGCAGACTTCGAGGGCGAAGTCTAGTTCAAGTGGGGGAGAATTGTAACGCCCCGATTCCCAGGTATTGTTTAAATAAGAATTTAATTGGTTTCAAGGCCTACTCGACGAGTTGGTTGCCCTACTCGTCGAGTAGCAACGGGTTTGATACGCGTGTTTAGTGAGCTACTCACCGAGTCCATGAAGGGACTCGACGAGTAGGAGCTGGCAGATGAAACCCTAAATCCCGGGGTTTTGCACCCTATTTAAAGGAGCCTCAGCCTCCTTTGGCCTCTTTACAGTCTTCGAGAGCTCAGTGAAACCCTAATTTGTGTGGTACTCTTCTTGGTGTGATTTAAGCCTTGGAAAGAAGGTTGGCTAGGAGGGAAAATCTTGAAGAGCAAAGGAGTTGAAGCAAGGAAGGTGGGGGAAGCAAAACTTACCTCAGCAAGCATCTTCTGGAGGTATCAAGTTGCAATCTTTACTTCCCTTTCCTTCTAGATCTCTTTTCTTTTGGTTGAGTTTTAGGGTTTTATGGATTTTGAATTGATATGGTGAGCTATGGGCTAGATCTGAAGTTGTAACTTCAGATCTGGACCCTTCCTAAGTCCTAGAGTCATAAAGTTGCAGGTTTGGGGGTGATTGAGGCCCTCCTTGTGCATGAAACCCCATTAAGAGCTTGTAATTGCCATTAAGAGCCTTTTTAGTCATGCATACTTGTAAAGTTTGCAACTTTACGTGAAAAGCATGCTCTAGAAGCTTGGATCTGTAATTTGGAGCCATTGCATGGCTTAAATGAGTATGTATGGCGTAAGGACTGAAGGAACTCGGCGAGTTGCAAAGTTGACTCAGCGAGTCATATGAAGATGGCCTTGAACTCGACGAGTTGGATGATCAACTCGGCGAGTCCGATGAAGATTGCCATAGACTTGACGGGTTGTATGAACAACTCAGCGAGTCGGATGAGTTTTCCCCAAGTTATGAATGCGTGTGTATCCGTCGTGTTGCAAGTAGGAAACTCGTCGGGTGGCTTAAGGGTTCGATCGAAAACCGTAGGAGCTCAACGAGTCACCCGGTGACTCCGCGAGTGGGAAAGAACTTCAAGGAGCTCGGCGAGTAGCTGAGGGTACTCGGTGAGTTAAGGTCAACATGGACTGTTGACCTTGACTGATGACTTTGGCTTTGACAAGGATTTGATTAGTTGGCTTAAGGGGTACCTTGAAGGGTTGGGAACTTATGGGTTTGATTATGCTATGGTAATAGGTGGTGGAGTTTGTGGCAGTGATCCGAGGGTTGAAGTTTATCTACCAAGTCGACATCTGCAAGGTGAGTTATCCTCACTATATCGATAGGGTCTACGACACCAAGGCCGGCCCCTTTAGTTGTTATCGTTATGGTATGCTACATGTGGATATGATCTGTTAGATCAGAATCAGGATAGACGGTATGTTATGCTCTTGTGATCCGTAGGGATTGATATGTTAGTGACCTGCTAGGTCAGTGCTCTAGTTATGAGAGATTGTTATGTTTGGTAATCAGTGAGATAGATATGTTCGATGTTTTTTATATGCCAGTAAATGTTAGTTATGCGCACATGGTTATTTGCTTGTTGCTTGGGTTGAGGCGGTCCTGCTTTGTGCTGAAGGCCAACACACCCTATGAGCGGTCCGGGAAGACTGTAGGCCCACGTGGAGGTCCAGTCATGTCGAAGGCTCGGTATAGATTCAGTTGGACTGTAGGCCCTGTAGGGCGGTCCAGTCAGACCGATGGCCCAGTATGCATGTTGATTGATTGATTATTACGGATATGGTATTATCAGTGTGGTATTGGTATTTTGGGGGTAGCTCACTAAGCCCTCGGGCTTACAGTTTTCAGTTTATTGTTTCAGGTACTTCAGGAGTTCATGGCAAGGCAAAGGCGGGACCGTACCGCTCCTCATCCTTATGATCTGGCTTTTGGGACACTCTGATTGAATAAATGAATTGAAAACACTTTTGTAAACAATTACTAATTGATTTTATATATGCTTGAAAAGTTTAAATTTAGCGTAAAATTTTGGATGTTACATCGGCCTAGCATGACTGAAATCCCCTTTCCTACTCACAAATGATGTTGATTTCGGTCATGGACTTATTCAAGAAAGGGATTTCGGCCTTGTGGAGGATCTTTGAGGGTGATTTCGGTTCTATATGGCCGAAAACCCTTGGATCTTTTGATTCCAAAAACCGAAATCCCCATAGTGGGGTGTAGTTCATGCTTTTTTTGATTTATTTCTTTGACTTGTGTTGACTTGGGAAGTTTATTACGTCATGGTTTTAACATATATAAACATATTAGCTTATATAAATATGTATTCTTGGTTTTCAAGGTTCCATTGCATCAACTTACATTTGTGAATTCACTTATACATGGTTAAAGTTTAGACCTTTTTTATTCTAGATATTTTCCAGTTGTCACAAGCATCGGCTGGAGGGCACGTGGGATGATGCCCCAGTTCTTTGTGGAGAAGGACGGTGAGTGTGCATCTCCTCCCTTCCCCCACCCCCCTTTTTACGTGAATCTTGGTGAGACGAGGGTAGGGCTTTGCCAATCCTTATATATGTGATTTATTCTTTGTTGCAAGTCACGAGAGGATCATTCCTTTCGAGATGGTCCTGCAGGGCAGATTCTAGGGTAATTTGCAGCATAGGGAGGTTCCTCTGGTGGAGATCCTTCCTCCATCGTTTGGCACTGATAGTGATTTTGTTCCTGCTAGTCTTGGTAGTGTTGTGGCAGAAGGGTCTGGTGCGCAGGCTTACCCAGAGTTGATGGATGCAATTGTTGAGGGTGTTTCTCGCGACGACCCTCTGCCTCATGATCCGGAGGATGAAGCATCGGGGGAGGCGGTGGATGGAGGGAGCCACTCATCTATCAAGAGATGGTTAGCTTGGTTAGATTACCCACTTACTGAGGGCGCCCATGCCAGCACTGTTGGCAGGGGACTTCGTAAGAAGTGGAACATTGACTTCCTGTTGGGGAGTCAGACGTGGTGGTGGAAATTCCTGATGATGACACTTCGAAACAGTCGAAGGAAATAAATGAAGAGGCGACTGAACAACCTCGTGAACCCAAGAAGGAGACAGAGGGTACTATCATTCCTGGTGAAGGAACTGCAGGCAAGGAGCCTGAGGTTGAGTTTCAAACCGCCTCTAATTTTGTGTTGCCCCTGGAGAAGGATAGTGTTATTGCATGCTCCTCTTCTTTTCCCCTGACGGCCCCTGGAGTTTATATTGTAGAGTGGGGGCTCACTAGGGAGTCCCTCCTTGCGTAACATTCTGTTGCATACTAGTAGGGCCGTTATGCTTTCCCTCCGGCTACAATCGAAGCTTTGGAGCTCCTATCCAACTCTCACATGTCTAACAGTCTAAAGTATGCAGCGACTCAGGTCGCTCCTTATTTGGTGGCCTCCGCTCGACGCCTTCATCAGGTCAATTCAGATTCAGCGGAGCTTGCCTCTGTTAGGGCCGAGAGGGATGAGCTAAGGGCAAGGGTGTTGGGGTTGGAGGAGGAGAAGCACAACTTTGAAGAGCGTTATGACCTTTTGGCTGGTGAGAAGGCATATATGGAAGAACATATTGAAAGTTTGGATGGGTTAGTGGAGCGTTTGACGAATAGATTGGATACTATGGTAGGAGAGAAACGATTATCGGAAGAGCAGGTGAAGCAGCAGGTCGGACGGCTGGCTGCTGAGGAATCCAGGAGGAAGACTGTAGAGAGGGATATGGCATGACTTCTACGGGATGGTATTGTTTGAGTGGTTGATCGATTCATTGAGAGTCCTGAGTTCTTCTCCGGGATCCGGCATATGAAGGCAGCGTGTGTCACAGCTGGTGTGGAGGGAGGCAAGCAGGTGGTGAAGGAACAGGTGGCCTCTGGGAAATTCGATCCGCAGGAGCCAAGTACTGTAGTGGAAATGACTCAGGACATGCATGCTTCTGTGAAGTCGCTCATGGAAAAGAACTTTGCATCCCTCCTTTATTTGGGTGAGCTCGGCTTGGAGGGGCTTCGCCAGCTGTGCCGTGATCCCGACATCGAGGAGAACCCACCTGAAGGTGACACCCTGAAAGTTGGATCCTCCTCCACTACTCTCGGTAACTGATCATCCTTCCTTCCTGATTTGTTTATGTGGAACAATGTTTGAACGTGTGTTTTCATGAGACGATGTCTCCAAGACAATGTTTTTAATGGTTGTTTGGCCCTACGCGGCCTTTTAAAGTCCGAGGGATGCAGTCAGGACAAGGTTTTTTTGTTTTTTTGGTAATACGGTCATTTTTGCTTCTACGATACCTTTGTTTCTATACCCAGGTGGTTTATGTTGGTCACTGGTGATTATGCGCCCTTATTTTTCCTTGTTGAGGCGATTCTTCCCCCAGGTTTGTGTTGGGCTTGGGGGATCGACTCGAGCCAGTTAGATCTTTCTGCTCAGTTGGTGGTTATGTTGTTTGGTGATTTAGTCGTGTTACTGGATTTTCCCAATTTATGAATCTAGGACCCATATTTACTTAATGTTCTTTGGATTTGTCCTGTGAGCTCGTGATGCGAGTTCGAAACTTTTCCTTTCTTTGGGTCATAGGTCGTTACTTCTAGACTGGGTCTTTCTGTCTAGTCTGCTTTGTTAGGGTATCCCTTTTTAGCTACGGTTTACTGATTACCCTTTTTTGAGACTTTGTTCTAAGTCCTGATCCTTGGGGGGTTGTACCCTGCCCTTAATTGTTTGATTCAAGTCGAGATCATCACTTCAAGGCGTTTAGGACTTAGGTACTATTTGTTTCAAGGGAAAGGTTATGAGCCTTTGAAGCCTTTGTCCTTGTCATGGTAATGATTTGTGGCCTTTGGGGCTGAATTGACATGTTTAGGGAAAGGTTATGAACCTTTGACACCAATGGTTGCATTCTTACAACGGTTTTGCTCAAATGATGTCGATGACCAATCCTTGTTACCATTTGGTAAATGTGTACAACCTCTTTTGTGAGTGTTATCAAGCTTGAATAGTAAAAAACGTTTTAATAGTTTTTAGTTTTTTGGGGGTAGTTAAGTTCCTTCACTTCATTGATAAATATTTTGGAGATAACTACATTGTTTGAAAAGTGAAGAAAAATAGATGACTACATCATGGCATAAGCCAAGGCCTAGCTCTTGGGCTGATTTGCTGGTGTGTGATCATCCATTCTGAGTTTGATCACATTGCCCAAGCCTCGGACGTGCCTTATCTAGACATTTTTCTTTGCTCTAGGGGTGGTGGTGATAACTGTACACACTCCAGGTCCAGGGTATGACTCCTTCGTCCTGAGCTCTTGCGATACCAACTCTGTCTTGGTGCGTTTTAGTGGCCCTGCTCACATGCTCTTTAGCGGTGTTTAGACCCATCCTTTTCCAATGTCCAGTCTTCTGTACCGGGGCTTTCCACTCACATACACCAAATGTGGTGATTTTTGGAGTTTCCCCTTTGTTTGGCATGGTTGAGTCTAACGGTCGTATGTTTCCCGCTAAGCATGTTCATGTTTGGACATTGATTTGCCTTGTTGATGATCACATCAAAGTTTGGAGCTCGTAACGGCCCGTTTGCGATCCCAAGTGGCGGCATTGCTTTTACTCCTTGTATCAGGTTGAGGGGTATTCCTTCGATGTTGTCCCTGGGACTTGGCGATGGAGCTCAGACGTTGCTGGTGGTTCTCCGACCCATGATTTTTTTGATCCTGATGGATGGTTACCTTTTTTATGTCTAGTGAAATGGCTGGGGGTAACTAGGGGGAACTAGCTCCTCTTGAGGTGATGGGTGTGACCCCATGATGTCGATACCCCATTGGTTTGGCGACTGACAGTTTTTAGTCAAATTCATGGCGTGTTGGCTTTGAGGAGGGATGAGCACCTAGTATTGTAGGCAATCTTCGACAGTAGGTCTTAGGCCTTGTTTTTGCAAACCACTTGATTACTTCTATGCTTCAGGCAAGTATTTTTCTTTTCCCGACTGTACTTTCTATGTTGGTATGTGTGCAATTTTAGCATCGGCCCTCTTGTTGTTTGTGGGGTCGCTTGGGAAAGGCCTGTACAAGAAGTAACTTGTGACAACCGTCAAAATTCGAGTTAGTTCTAGATTTGATAAACTTATTTGCACGTGTAGGCACGATACATACTAGACTTAGTAACTAAAAGCTAAGTTATAACCTACTAGAAACTTGGAAACAATTAGAATCAATGGATAGTGTACTTAGATTTCACATTGATATGTGAATTCTACAACTACTTAACTATAGTGAATATCCATATTCGGGTCACACTTTGACTTGAACACCTTTTCATGAATCATATACACACATCATGCACTTGACCTAGTAGTAGAAATTAGGTCCGAGTCTCGTAGGAACTTAAGTAAAAGTTGAAAACTATGACTAGTATACTTGATTCCTCAATTTCGTTTGGATCTCGGAATCACTACATAGAATGTCAATAAACCGATAAAAATAAATTACAAACATTATTTCTAACTTGAATAAGAGTTAGGAAACACAAAAATAATTTGATGCCTCCAAAATTCAATTTATCTTGATATCTAAAGTTTAGCAAAATCCGAGAAAACCCTAAAAGCCCTAAAATCTCAAATTTATAAACTTTAACACTTAAAACTCCATAAAATTTGTTGTGAACCTCATAATATCAATTTAAAATGACTAAATTCAGGAAAATATAATCAAGGAAAATAAAAATGAAGTCATTAACATTTACCCTTAATTTATAAGCCAAAAATCAAGGTTTTATGGATAAAAGCTAGGTTAAGTTGTATATTTTATAAAACTTTGATATTTTTTTCTTATAAAAGATTTAAATATTATAAAGAGAAAAGAGAAATAGAGGGTATTATACCTCAAAAATTCAGATTCCTCTCTCCTCATATCTCTCTCTCACACTCAAAAGGCACACACTACTCATTTTCACTCACTCTTCACTCCACCTCTTTACATCCTTCAAGAACAAGTTTTTCTCTCAAACTCTCTCTTCCTCTCTCTATACCCACGAAATTTTCCTGAAAATATGTCCAAGAACACACCTCAAACTCGAAATCTTCATCATCTTGTGGTGTTCTTGAAGGTAAAATCGATTTCTACTTCACTATTCCTTCAAGTTTTACTATTTCTTCTTCTTCATAAACACTTTTCTTTGAGATTATTCACATGCATGTTCACAACCACGGTTTTTATGATGATGGTGATATTATTTCACCCAAAATCCAACATGCATATGATGATCTTCAAGCTTAGATGCTTGATGATCAATGTTTGTTGTTAAAAGCTTTCAAATATGTTCATGAAGGATTTAATCCCAAATAAATCCCTAAAACTTCCTTTCTGATCAAATCCGATTTTTCCCAGAATTCCACCAACAAAATGAGAAGTTCTCCAAATTTTCAAAAAAAAATTCATTTTTCTCGAATTATTATAATTAATGCAAGAAAATAGGGCAATAATTCATATAAAATACTTTCTGAGGTCTATAAATCCTAGGTAATTCGTGAATTTGAAAAGGCTATCTAAGATTTTTTCCCAGATCCTACCTCATGTTTAATACTTAGAAAAATATTTTCAGAATTTTTCATAATGTATACCTATTTTTCACCGATTTTTGTATTTATAATGGACTAATAATGGGAAAAATAGTTCTACTCATCCAAAATTCATGAAACTTTTCCAGAAGACCTTATAATATATTAGAACTCTAAATAAAAATTTGGATGATTTTTATATTCAGTATGTTATTTTTCTTCTATTTTCTAAGATTAAATACACTTAAATCCACAAAATCGGATTACCGCATATACAAATCACCATTGGTATTTTTCTCGGATTATGTGCACTGTAAATGAAGTTTTTACAAAAGTTTTGGTAATTTTATTGAACTGTTTGATAATTATTCACCAATTAATGGTTATTCAAGAGAATAAAAAAAAGAAAACTAGAAAAACTACTTGAAAAATATCTTTTATATTTTTCACAGCTTCTATATGTATAATAACAGTGTTACAAAAAGTTTGGGAAATTTTGGAAACCGTCTTCTATTTATTTCCATTTTTGTTAGAATAAATGAACAAAAATCATAAAATCGGGTTAAACTTTTTAGAAACTCATTTCTATATTTTTCCCAGCTTAAGTATATTTAATGGCATTAATATAAAAAGTTTGATAATTTTTATCATCTGGATACTATTTTTCACGAATTTATGTTGTTATTAAGGCTTAAAAATTGGGAAAAATAATTAATCACATCAAAAATTCAAGCAAAAATTTATGGAAGACCACTATTGTATTTAGAATGAAAATGCAAAGTTTGAGAATTTTTGAAAACTTATTGATGATATTTTGGATTTTTAGGAGTTTAAAACACCTTTAAATGTATTGAAATACCTTCAATTAATATTACAAAAATCTGGAAAATAATATCCAAAATTATCTTAATCACATGAGTTATAAAATTTCACCATTTAAGAAAATGTTTGAAACTTAACAATATTAAATTTTGACACAATATTGGCATAATTCTATTGTAGTAGCAAGTATACTAGTATTAGCTTTCTATTAGAGACTCATTAGTGTGTAACATCGTGTAGGAATCGATAGTGGTACAAGTGGAATGTAGTTCAAGGCATCATATGCATCATCTCAAAGCATTGTGAGTATTCACGACTTCCCATATTTTCGGTTTTAAATGTTTTGGGGTGGAAAGGCATGTCCAAAAACTGTTTATGTTCGTTGTATTTATTTTGACTCGTATAAACTTGGTTGCTATATTTTCCATGTATTTGTATGTTACTTTAATTCATGAGGACTGTATCGCGGTTAAGTCCCCGGAATCATTCGACACAACTCATTAACTCTTTTGAGCCTATGGTTATTATGGATAGCGCTATCAGGAGGTAGACAACTCTGCACTCGCACGATTCGCTTGAGTGCATTTTACAATTTTACTCTCTATGTTTGCGATACACATTGTAGTCAATAGGGCACGATTCGGTCATTATGCTTGGGTTGTGAACTCATGAATGGAAACTTGATGCACATACGAATCTTACATCCCATTTTAGCGACGAAACTTGTATACTCATTTTAG